TGGGCCCAGCAGGCAGGAAAGGGAGGCCCAGGTGCTCCCCAGCAGACCAGAGACGGCTATGGCCAGGTGGACTGTCCGGGTGGGGTCCTGGGGGGCCAAGCCAGCTAGGCCAGGGACGTCACCCGCATACAGTGCCATCAGCAAACAAGCCGGTCAATTATTAATGAAGCTCGGGAAACCGAACCGTCGCCGACAGGACGAGCCGCTCTCCTTGGCCGGGGGGTGGAGGTGGGGAGAGGACCCGGGCAGGAGTCAAACCGCCATCCCCTCGTTTGGGCCAAGCGGGGGTCCCAACAGAGACACCGACTGGGACCCCCTGAAAAGCCGTCCGGCTCCAAAGGTGGGAAAGGGGCCTCGGGAAAGCCAGGTAAATCCTCCATCCTCGGGTGTCTCTCTCTCTCTCCCCTCCGCCCCAGACAGAAGGCAAACTTTGGAGGGCAGGGCAAGAGAGAGGGTTGGGGGGTTGGGGGGGACCCTCCATGTCCCCACATGCAAGGAGAGAGAGAGAGCAGGGGGGGGGAATATATTGCCACATTTATGAAATCCGAGTGCTGAAAAGAGAGCCAGAATCTGTCTAAAAGGGCCTTTAATCCCAACGACGGCAAAAAAAAAAGAAACCACGCTAGACGTTTCTTTTCCTCTTAAATGCAATTATTTCACCAAGTGAGCTTGGGATTGCAAGGGGTGGCCAGCAAAGCCAAATCATGCATTTCCTCACCAAAAAAACAACTCCCTGAAGGGTTCGGAGGTCTGGAGCTCGCCTGCTCCCCCAAGGCCACCGTCTGAGTTCCCCATCTCTAAACGAAATAAAAGTCTGGCCTATTTCATTATTTATCTTTGCAAGGGGCGGCCAGCAAAGCCAAATCATGCATTTCCTCACCAAAAAAACAACTCCCTGAAGGGTTCAGAGGTCTGGAGCTCGCCTGCTCCCCCAGGGCCACCATGTCACTTTCCCGAGTATGTGGGGTGGGGGAGAGAGAGGGAAGGGGGCGCTTTGTGAAGTTGGGCCTCGGTTTCCTAAGGGGCGAAGGAAAGCTGAGGGGGGGTGGGGGTCTGGCTGTGGTTCTCACGGGCACCTCTTCTTTCCTCGCAGAGCCCGAAGCGCCCAGACGCTCTCGGCCTCCCAGAGAAGGTGCCGGGACTTTATACAGAGATTGGGCCATGGAAGGATCGCAAGCGTGTGGGGCGTCTTCTCCTCCGCATCTCGGAGGCGGAGAGGGAAACAGGGGGGACCTGGATCTTCCGGCAGAGAACACGCCGCCCTCCACCCTTGCAGACCTTTGGCGCCTTTCACCCAAGTCGGCACCCCCACGGGCCAGGACAGACGTGGGCCCCGACCCTCCGCCCGGAGGGGCCAACCCCAGTTTGGCCGAAGAGCCTCCACCCTATTCTCCCCCGGATCCCAAGACGCTCCACCTGCTGTTTCCGGCGTTCCAGAGCAGCCTCTCCGGCCAAGGACCCCCCTTTTATCCCCCCGGGAACCGGCCGTCGGAGGCACCTCCTGCGCCCTCTCCGTTCGCCATTGTAAGTAGTTCCACGTTTGAGGCACCGAATGGATGACAGCCTCTCCTGGATTGGATAATGGAACTGGTCGAGGAGGCTCCATGGGGGGAATCGAACTCACAACCTCCAGCTCTACAGCCAGAGACTTCAGGGGTTTAGGTCTCTGGAGCCAGACGTTGGGCATTCAGTTCCCCCCATGGGGCCTTTTGGACAGGGGCTGGACTGGATGATCTTATAGGGTCCCTTCCAGCTCTAGCAGTCCAAAGATAACGAAGAGGAGGATTTAATAGGGGATTTACACATTTGATGGCTCGCTCCTTCAGACAAGAAACATTCACAGTCTTCGGGGACTGGACGGGGAGGGAACAGTATACCAAGGCAAACAGCTGGCCCAATACCCTATGCAAGGAATGTTACGTCCTGCAGTCTGTATCAAATTATAGAAATTACATACATTTGCTATCGGGAATAATTATGTTTTTACGGCAGAGAGACGGGCCGATGAACTGGAGACACAGAGACTAAAGTCCACTCTCACAGCCACGACAAACTCGGCCAAACCCTCCCCCTCTCCAGGGTCAATATAGATTCTTCCGTGCTTATCTTCAGGGCCAGAAGCTGGATGATGATGATGATGATGATTTTTTAAAGGATCATCCCCATTCCAGAGTCTGCACTTATCCACTGCAATGAAGGCGCTGCAGAATACAAAGCAGTTCTGAATTGGGATTTCCTATTGTGTATTCCGTGGGCGACCTGGGCTTTTAAAAGCCGCCGTTCACTCAGATTCGCAGCAAAGAATTAAAAACAGCACGAAATGTCTAATTTCCCACCCACCCCCCCAGGAAAACATAAGAAGCCTTCCTGGCCCTCCCCAGGTTAGGAGCCCAGGATTTCGAGGGGGGAAGGACGCCCCTCGGCCTCGCACCTCGAGTGCTTCCGATCTGTAGGAGCTTCTCCGTGGCTCAGCGTTTCGGTCTCTGCTTCCAGTACAACAGCGCTTTGTTCGCCGAGATCCCCATCGAGGCTGAGAGAAGCTGCCGACACCCTCCGAAAGATTACATGGTCGAATCCGTGCTGGCGACGCTCTTTTGCTGCTTGCTGACGGGAGCGATGGCCTTGGTCTACTCCCACGAGGTAGGCGCCTCTGCGGTGGGAAAGGGGGAGGCGTCAGCGCATGGCAGGATCCCCACGTTGTGCACCGGAAGCCACCAGGCCTACACCCTGGCCTCCTCTCTGGGTATAGCTGGCAACGGCTCCCCTCCTGGAGGGCTGGTGCCAGTTTGCGTAGACCGGGGACGGCCAACCTGCCGCCGCAGAGTGGCTTGCGCCCTTTGGGCTGACACACACTTTCTCCCATTATCCAACCAGTACGAAGTCCACTTAAACTAATCCAGGCTTACCTCTCTGTTTCACATTCTCCTACTGCAGGCAAGGACCGCCGTGAACCGAGACGATCTCATCCAGGCCAAAGCTGCTTCTCAAAAAGCTCGTTTGCTGGTCTTGTTCAGCCTGTTCTTTGGAGTCCTCGTTTCAGCGAGCTGGGTGGTCTACGTCCTAGTAACCCTCTACCTGTGACAGTGGAGATCCGAAATCACCTGGAAGGAAGCCTTGGGGGATCTCCTCCTCTGTCTTGGACGTACCCATGTGGGTCATGGAACTCATCGGACACGTCATTATGCCAGAAGCAACCAAATTTCATCTGGATATGACCTTGCTAAGGTCTTGTTACATGACACACGGAGCACTGGGTGTTAGCTAGCGATGGGCAGCGACATCATCATGTTCCTCGATACGAGCTTTCCAAAATACACACCTCTCTTTAAAAATGTGAAGAACTTCCAAATTAAGGAACTCAAACGCAAGAGAGATCAAAACTTGACAAGATTCACTCATTTGGGGCTGTGCTTCGATTTTCAAAGTCTTTGCTTCCAGATGCTTTCAAACATGTAGGGTAGGGGGGTCAGCACGTCTGCCTCCTTATTTTTCTTGAGAGGTTCCCTTGTCTCAACACAATGCAGGTCCTTCTGCGTAGGGAATGACCGTTGAATCTGGCTAGCGAAGACGGGTTGAATTTTCTTCCGGCTCATTTTTTTTTAAAGTACGGACTCACCAAGGCAGTGGGTGCAAAAGGAAAAGTGTGAATATATTCGCCATCGGGGCCACGGCAGTTTCTCTCTGTGTAAGCTCTAAAACAGGATCTGTAATATACTTCCTAATGCAAGGATGCTAGGTTGGCTGCCCAAATCCTGTTCACTTCAGGATGACAGGAACAAATTTGGTTGAAGGATGAAGCTGGGTGGAGCTTCAGGCCTTCTTCAAATTCAACCATGGCTGAGCTCCTTCATCACTGCGTCACAAAGATCTACTCCAGAGCAATGTCTCAGTATATTTTAAGGTGTGTTTTAACTGATTTTAACTGGTGTCTTCACATATTTGTACATGTTTCGCTGTATTTTAAGACTATCATGTATATGTTTTAGTAATTTCTACACCACTTTTTGGGAGAAAGGTAGGACAGTAAGCAAGTCAATAAATGTTATGCCTCAATAAGTTATAGTCTGTAACGTATAGGACGTGATATATGATATAGTATAAGATAGGCTATACCACTGTTACTGGAAAAGAAACTAATTTTATGAAAAATAACATTTCATTTCCAGCCAGTTACCTTAAAAAGATTTCCTGAGACGAAAACCAAACCGGAAAAGAAGCCCCAACTGTCAGGTACACACTTGTTATCGAAGACACACAATCCGAGCTGGAATTTGGAGCTTCTGCAGTATCTCTCGCTCAAATGGAAAACAAAGCACGAACCACAGGAGGATGTTGTTTACATGTTCATTCAGAGACATGTTCATTCGGTCTACGGTTGCCTTCTCCGTCGCCTTTCCCCTACCCTTCTGAACAAATGTCCTAAATAGGCTGATCAGTAAACAGGAGGCAGAAAAAGGGCGGACAAACAGAGGACCGCACCGGTTGGAGGAAATGGGTTTGATTGTCACTTTTAATCTCGGCGACCAACGCATGCACCACAAACAGGATGATCCTCAAGAAAGTAGGTTCTTCAAACTCAATTTTATTTCGATTGCTGTTTTTTCACTTCTTTCGTATAAAAAAAGAGAAAGGAACAGGGTTTTGACATATTTTTTTCGCAAGTAGGGGCTGCCTTCGAGACCAAGGGAGCCATAAATATGCAGAGTCAGGCTGGGAGAGGCTTTGTGGTGTGACAGCAAAGTCAAGAGATTTTAGGACAGCTTTATTCGAAAAGGCCATTCAACGTCTCCTGGGTTTTTAGGTGCAGACCTCCAAAACCTCGAATTCTTCTGCCCCCCCCACCTTACCAATTTAACCCAAATTTTGTTCTCAGTTGGAAACACAGCTTGTGCCTTGTTCTCCTTCCTTTGGCACTTCTGTCATGGTTTCTTTAAACCAGTTTCCTGTTACGTCGCAATCCTGTTTCGACAGTTTGAAGATGAAATACAGTCGGAGTGCGATATCCACGGGGAATGGGTTCCAAGTTCTGCCCCCCACCGGAAAGAGGAAAGGAAAAGAAGGGACTGCATGTGTAGTGCCAGAACGAGGTGTTTTTGACGAGAAAACCTCCACGCTGGGAGAAAGCAAGCTTGGGAGAGCGAGAGATAGAAGCAGGGGGAAGAGAGAAAAGGGAAAACAGGCGAGCTGGCTGGCTTTATTTCCTGAGAAGGGGGTTGGAAGATGGCAGGCACTTGGTTCCAAAGCGGTCTTCCCTAATCTGCCACCCTTCCTAGAGTCTGGGGACGATGGGATTTCTATCCCAGGCTGACGGAACAGGGTCAAGTTGGAAAATGGTAGCCCTGTCTTTGGAGGCGGGCATATGGAAGGCAGAATGAGGGAAAGCGGGCTTTAAAATACACACACACACACATATATATAGAAACAAATCTGTGAGTTGAGACAAATCAAGGCGAACGCCTTCGTTTGATTTCTGACGGATGCAAGAGGTCGGCAGATGAGGAAGGCAAGAGACGGACGGACTCCATAGCTCCAAGTTTAAATCAGGAATATCAGAACAGAAGTGTTTCCTTTGGTTTTATCCCAGACCACCGTCGGAAAGGGAGCCTACTCAACATACTTCCTCGGATCACCAGTTCAAGACCCACCATCCCTGGCATTTCTGGCACGGCGGCCCGCTGGGGCAAGAAAACGTCACGCCCTTCGTAATCAATTTGACTTAAAAAGAGGCTCACGGGACGAAAGGTTTTCCAAGATTGGATTCAGTGGCAAAATCTGCTCGGAAGCCGGTTCCCAGTGCTTTCCTTTCCTTCCCGCTATGGATCCGATGCATTCTAACTGGGACGGATTCCCATCGTGATCCCTTTCCGGAAGTCAGAGGGAGCAGCCAGCCTCAGGAATGATGATGTTTTCCAGACCCCTGGCAATCATCTCCTGGAAAGCTGTCCTAGAGAAGCGTGATGGAGCCAAGATGATTCCTGTACCAACCCTTCTCGACTTTTTATGGAGGAGAACGTTCTTAAGGACCACTTTCCTATTCTTATTCAGCTGTTGGTACCATGCATGCCCCCCCTTCCCGGTGTCTTGACGCTCTGAATGAGGCCTTCAAATAGGAGATATAGATATATAGATATATATTTCTTGTCCTATACACATTGCTTTGTACTTTTCCAGGTCTCCTTTTAAAAAAACCCACTTGGCCATTCAGACACACATGCATCGAAAAGAAAAACCCAACGGCACCTAACGATTCATATTTACAGATGGTCTTGTTTTCTACATATTTACTGTGTTACAGCTAGTACCATGGCTAAATTATACGGATCCCCCCCAGCCCCACCAGGGTGGACGGGGGGTGTCACAGAACCTTGGGGGGGGGGAAACAGGATGGCTGATTCCCAAGCAAACAAGGAGATTCCAGAGGAAGCGAAACCGATTTGGGTGGGAGGCCCACCGTCACGAGGGTAGCTGCGCCTCTCGTTCCTTTTCTGTCTTGGGTGGTGGGCACATTCGATCATCTCTCTCTGTAAACACAAACTCTACCAGCGAGAAAGAAATTCTACCCACACTGCAAATCCTCCCCTCTCTCCCCCCCCCGGTGTTCAAGGAAAAAAAACAACTAGAGATGGTTCTAAATGTAACAAGGAAGCATCATGAAGGACGACCGATGTTCATCCAGCATGCAGATGCTCCACGAGTGGTCGGAGCGCAAGCAGGATGTGGCTCAAGGCAAGAAACAGAGGCCTTCGCTTCTCTTTTCTCGCGCTGTGCGAAAAAGGGGGAAGGATTTCTCTCTATCACACAAGTCGAGACTTCAGATTTGGCAAAGTGGGAACATGCTGGCATCGATTCCCCCCCCGAAATTTCTAGCGCTCGCTTTCTTTCCGGACTCTAAACGCCAAGCGAGGGGGAACCGAGCAACCGTGGAAAGAGAGCGCCGTGCCCCGGCAGTTCTTCCCCTGCCGCTGGATGGAAAAGGCAGCCGCTCCCACGCCAACGATCACAGCACAGCCTCGCCACGGAGACTACCCGACCCCGGTGGCTGGCCCAGAAAGGGAGAAGGGGGGGAAACGTGGGCCGGGCACAAGTCTCAGTCCGCTCAGCTGCCGTCTGTGTTAAGCGTCCAGCAATCCTTTAGGCCCAAGGCCTCCGTGAGCGTCCTCCCCCTAAGTTTTTTCTTCCCTATCTGTTTTTCGCCTCGTTATGTTTCGAGGCTTGATTTTGAGGGAAAGCTCCCATAAAGCTTCCTCGGCCAGATGGTCGCTGAAATCGTTGAAGAACGAGATGATGTCGTCATTCCGTTTGATGTCATAATGCCTGTAGCGATCACACACACACACACACGTGCACACAGAGAGAGAAAGAGAGAGAGAGAAAGAGAGAGAGAGACAGAGACACAGAGCTCATTTTATAACGGGCATGACTGTATTGATCATGAAGTCAGTGAAAGGCAGAGAGAAAAGCTATCACTCCTTTGGGGTAATTTGATGCACGGTTCCCCCCTCCTCCCAAAGCAGGGAGCTGTGCTGGAAAAGATAAGAGCCAAGCAAAAAATTCTGCGACCAAGCCAGGGCGATTCTGCACTAAACAAACTGGATTATGCACCCCCTATAAACTGTGTTGACTGTTTCCCCATGTTGATAAATAAATCTTAATGTCTCCTCTGCAGCTGAAATAAAGAACATCTCTTCACCTTTCTGGACAACACCTTTGCTACAACCCCACGGCGCATGCCCCTAGTCCTCAGTGTTCGCCCTGTTTCCACATGCCCCCCTTTTTGCTGTTTCACACAAGCCGATGGTTCCACTTACACTTGCTGGAAGCACCTCATGCTGTCCAGGATGTTGAACTGCTGCCACCGCTTCGAAAAATTGACTTTGCTGTCAAGGTAGTCTGGGTTCCCCAAGTGAACAAAAGTCAGGTCTTGCAATATGAGGCCTCTGGAGGGGGTGGGGAGAAGAGAAACGGGACAGGGAAAAAACACCTCCAATTATATAGGCTCAAAATGGCAAACAAGTCGGAAGGTGGTTAATTGCCTCCTAAATGTCAGCCAGCAAAGCAATGCAGCTGCAAACGAAGCCAATATGATTCAAGATGGCATGAACAGAAGCAACAGAAAGAGCCGTTCGGTTCTGTTCCAAACTAGCCACCCCATCTCGGCTGAATGTTCGTAAGGTGAACAG